GCTTTAAACTAGAATCACTGGGGAAGGGGATGCCAACAGAAGAGCTGAAGGTAAGCCAAAGTTTGACATGGCACTGCCTGGGGGTGGCAATGGTAGCGGGAACATTTACGCTGCTCCTGGGAGCACAGAGGGCTCAGGAGCACTTCTGACATGCTTATATACCAACAGAGGCAATATGAAAAACAAACAGGATGAACTGGAAGCACCGGTCAGTTCCCACAGCTATGATATCATTGGTATTAGTGAGATCTGGTGGAATGAGTCTGTCCTGGTTTCAGCTGGGACAGAGTTAACTTTCTTCCAAGTAGCTGTCATAGTGCTGTGTTTTGGATGTACTACCAGAAGAATGTTCATAACACCCTGATGTTACAGCTGTTGCTAAGCAGTGCTTACACCAGTCAAGCACTTTTCAGCTTCCCATGATCTTGCCAGGTGCACAAGATGCTGGGAGGGGGCACAGCCAGGACAGCTGACCCAAACTGGCCAAAGGGCTATTCCATACCATATGACGTCATGCTCGGCATATTAAGCTGGGGGAAGAAGAAGGAAGGGGAGGATGTTTGGAGTGATGGCATTTGTCTTCCCAAGTCACCATTACCTGTGATGGAGCCCTGCTTTCCTGGAGATGGCTGAACACCTGCCTGCCCATGGGAAGCAGTGAATTAATTCTTTCCTTTGCTTTGCTTGTTTCCCTATTAAACTGTCTTTATCTCAACCCTTGAGTTTTCTCATTTTTACCCTTCCGATTCTCTCCCCCATCCCATTGCAGGGGAGTGAGTTAGTGGCTGGGTAGTCCTTAGTTGCTGGCTGCAGTTAAACCACAACAGAGTCCCATGACTGGAGTGCTGGGATGGAGGGCTGCAGGCCGTTCGGGAGGGACAGGCAGGGCAGGCAAGGAGGCAGACAGGAGGACTTGCACTGTATGTAAGAGAGGTTTGATTGCACAGCCCTTACAGTTAGCGATGATGTGGTTGAGAGCCTCTGGGTGAGGATTAGGGGGATGGAAGACAAAGCAGGTGTCACAGTGGGTGTCCACTACAGATCACTCAGCCAGGACGCTATGCTGATGAGTTATTCTACATGCAATTAGGAGAAATCTCTGGGAATACTGTACTGCTGCGACAAGCAAGTCTGGGAAATTCTTGAAGTCTGTGCGAGGTAACTTCTTGTCACAAGTACTCAGAAAGCCAACTAGGAAAGACGCCCTCCTAGACTTGCTATTTGTGAATAGAGAAGGACTGCGTCAGGCGTGGTTTAGACTTGACATTAGGAAGCATTTCTTTACCAAGAGGGTGGTCAAACACTGGAACAGGCTTCCTAGAGAGCTGGTCGATGCCCCCTGCCTGTCAGTGTTTAAAAGGCATTTGGACAATGCCCTTAATTACATGTTTTAACTTTTGGTCAGCCCTGAAATGGCCAGGCTGTTGGACTGTATGATCATTGATAGGTCCCTTCCTATTTGAAACATTCTTTTCTATTCTATTAATTTTCAAGTACTTCTTATCACTTGCATTTTTTCCCTACTGAGTCAACATTTTCATGAAGTTGTTATAAATGCCAAGATCTCTTTTTTCAGGCTTAACAGTCCACACAGAAAAAAACATTATTTTTAATGTAATGAGAGTCCTTCCTGTCCATTACTATAGTTGAGCCTCAGTTGCAATTTTATGGGCCAGCAAACTGGTATTAGGAAGTTCCATACTTCTTCAGAGACCCCTGGTCTTTACAATCCTCAACAACCCTGTATTATTAGCCAGCTCAGCTTGTATTTGCACCCTTTTCCAACTCACTATAATCATGTCCAGCATGTGTCCCCCCCCGTGGAATCCCACCATGACTTCCTGCCTTTCTAAAGATCAATCATTTCAGCCTTCCTACACTTCCAGTCTTTTAACCAATTATGCATCCATACAAAGACCTTCCCTAATGTCCTAGGAGTGCCTAATTCTCTAAAAGCTTTTGGACAAGAACTCTAGAAATTAAAGTAAATGTTTTGAGAAGAGATGTAGGAATTTAGCCTTCTCTTGAATTGCCATATCTGAATCACCATAGCCTGAATCACTCACAGAGTTCAAGTAACTGAGGAGCGTTGAGCACATGCAAGGAAAAAGTCTTTTAAACATACCACTCAGTAACAGAGTTTATAATTAGACTGCAAAGGGAACCACCAGACATGTTGCCAGTACCAAAAGTAAATTTATTATTACTTTGGGTTATTTGTGACTTCCAAAAAAAGAGAACTTGTTTGTTTATAAGTCTGCATCCCTTTCACTCTCATACCTCTGCTGTAATGTTCTCTCACCCTCAGGGGTTCAGCTGCCTGTACCCCAAAAATTCAAGGCTGAGCCCAAACACAGCAGACCTACTTTGGCTCAGAATTCTAAAAAATAAGATTTGCTAAGTTCTGATAAAGACTTGTGAAAAAACTCTGTGGAAAGATAAGAAATCAGACAGGAGTAGGATGGATAAAATGGAGATCACTGACTGCTCGAAGATAGATGATAAAGTAATTCATCAAATGGAAAGGTATAAGATTCTGATAGAAAAAAAATGAAGGTGAGAGGATCACCACCAGTCACCATGTTTTTCAAAGCACTAGTCTTGCTGGAGATGGAAGCAGACAATTCAGCAACACTGTGGACCTGACAGATGCTGAAGCAGACTCTTCTCCTGACTGAAGCCTGTCTGGACAGCAGACTTTTTGGGTATTACATAACGGTGGTGAGCATATTTATTCTCAGCCCAATTGCTCATTAAGGCTTGGCTATAATCTGCTAGTGCTAGCCATGACATAATTACTTTGTACTTTTGCATTTAATTGTGAAAATATGTTGCTACAAGCAAGATGCTCAAGCAAGCTAACCTAAAGAAGGGAGGTAACAGACTGATGGAGAAACGGGTCAGCCTCAAATCTTTGTAGTAGGTCCTCTTGCCTTAAAGGTGAAGACCGAACACAAGATTGTCAGCCTGCAACTTACAGTGATTTTTGGAGACTTCAGCTCGCTAGATAGGAAAAGTTTCCATTACTGGTGGTTGTAACCTGAACACAGAAATTATAATTTCCTAGAAGTCGGAAATTAAATCCCTTCCTTTCAGAGAAAAGTTTAGGGATGTGAGTTATCCAGAAGTGTCCACAGCAGAGTCCTTAAGTAATGAGCTTGGAGATGCTGAAAGCTTATTACAAGGCTTATTGTCTGCTCATTTGTAACTAAGCTATTACTGATGAGTATGCATTCTTTAAGAAGGTACAGAGAAAAACACCAGGCATGTTTTCTGGTCTTCTGACGCTGGCAGACACTCCTTGTGTAAGCACCCAACAAGGCAGAAATAATTCAGAAATTAGTCACAGAAGCACCTTTACTGATACTGAAGAGTACAGTCTGCCCTCTGGCATTTCAAAGGATCTACAGAGCTGTACACCTGCAGACAACTTGTTTGAACCAGGCATAAACACTGATTATATTTAAGAGATGTATGGAGAAGGCCTGGGTCCCAGTTCAAACTTTCCATGCCAGAGCCATGACTATGGTTTATGTAAATCAGTAAACTGAGACAGGCTTTACAGGCTCATTAACAGTTCTCTACAATAAGACCGACTGTGCCAAGATAACCTGATAGTTCTGATTGCTGTTATACTGTGCCTGCTGTATTATTATATTTCCACAAATTTAATGACTACTTATTTACGCTAAAATGACTTTATTTGCTTGCTAGAAAAAAGAGGTAGACCCAACAGGTAACAAGCAGATGGACAATGGACACAGACCTAAGTTTCTGGATGAACAGTGACATTTTTTCTAAGAAAAAGGCTAAAATTTACTGAATGAATTATTTAACTCAGAACATAACAGCTTGCTCTATGGATAACACAGGAACCGATCATCAACCATGAAAACAAATTGCTGCTGTCCGCATAACATTACTGATGTCTATAGTAAGATATCACAAATGCATTTTATATGTAAGTTAGAATACCATACAGACATGCAAATAGTGTTATTCCTGAAGAGCAATTATTTAATCTCCGTGAAACTTTTTTTTTTGCATTTTAAGTTATTACACGAGAAAATCCTGAGCAATATGTACGTGGAAAGTCAGCTCAAGCAGACAGATATTCTTATTACTTCAATACCCTTCTGGTGCCTACAGTACCCTAGTTTGACAGATGTTGGTGAAGTTGAAAGTGTTCAATGATATGAATGGCCTATTAAAGTAAAGCTAAACAAAGCCTTGATGCAAAGTTGCATTATAGTCTAAATGAACCATGAGTGCAGAAGAAGAGATAAAAGCACAGCAGTTGAAGACCCTTAACTCAGTGATGGTGGCAACTCCCCTGGCAGACCTGTAAGTGGAGGCTCAGCCTGATACCAACTCTTAATATGAAGAACAAAGATGCCCCTGGTGATCAAGATGTAACAGACATTGGGGGGGAGGAGGGGGGAGAGGAGGAAGGGATTAAACTGTAATCTGTCCCCCCAGTATTACCACACTTCACTTTCATCTCTTATTGTATCATAAACCTAACTTACACAGCAAAATTCCACAACCTTGACTTAAGAGGTGAGAAAAACCTGTGGAAAAGTCTACAGAAAGATAACTATGGATAGACCTAAGAATGTGCATGCAGGATTTGCTGGTAGCTTATAGATTTAAGAGGAGATAAACCCACCAAGAAGGAAAAGCATAAAATGCAGTGGGGAAAAAAAAAAGCCATGCATGGAGAACAATTGTCATCAGCTGCTGTTTGGGTTGTCAGTGTTGGAGTCAGTTAAAGGTGGCAACTCAGCAACCCGCAGCACTTGCTCCAGAATGCCACAGAGGTTGACCTTGTGTTATTACAACTGGGGGATGGGGGGTGTGGTGGTGTTCTTTTTTTTTTCCTTCACTGTTACGGATTGTGAAAGGAAATGCAGGACTACATAAAATAACATTTGGCAAATGAACACTCAGAAATCTGTAGGGTACTGGCATCTTTCGCAAAAATGACATTCAATACTTACTGTGCACACATGAGGCCAGTTCTCAAGCTGACTGAGCACTGCTGTGCTAAGCTCCTCCCAGTACATTTCCCGGTAGATCTGTGGCATCTTTGACACCCAGACACCACTGCTGCACTTGCTCAGAATCTCTTTAATGCGACTTTGAACTTCATTGTCATGAGCAGCAGAAGGGCCAGAAGCAACAGTATGTGTCTCTGTAATGGATGTATTCAAGTTATCTGTTAAACAAAAACACAGCTTTGAAGTAAACATAGCCTTACCACCAGAGAGAAAGACAGATGACTACAAACCTACTTAAAAATGAAACATGGGAGCTGACAGCATAACACCAACTCTAAAACGCAGCTCTCCTGCCCAGCATGGCTGTTTCAGTCACTTTATATTGAAAAAAGCCATGGAAAACTCAGACATTTAGTAACTAGCCTGAAGCTGAATTTTCAATCACTGTAGTTATTTTCGTAAGAAGTTGCTAAACATTGCTTCTGAACAGATCCTGGAAGAGGTTACAGAACCCTCAGCCACGCTATTGCTGAGAGGCTGCACTGAGGCAGTGTCCCAAGAGGGACACAAGATAGTTTTTTTATGAATACAAACACAAAGATACAGAACACCTAAGGATGTTCTTCTAAATTCAGACAGATGTACAAAACAGACCAATATTTGCCTTTCATTCTAAGATATGTCCTGAGGAAAAGTCTGAACCCAGCCTTTCTGTGCTACTGCATCCATGGAAGCCCTGCGGTGGAGCAGGGAAGGAGGCAGCAACTGTCTAGCTACTTTGGACAGTTTCATACATTGTATGTAGGAGCAATGCAGTCATTACCCCAGTTGGAGGTTCACATCACTAGCCTGCTCCCTTATCTCTACTCCTCTCCTTCCTTTGGAGGGGTGTATTTGCTACCAGACCTGACACTTGACAAATCAGCCTGACAGGTCTCAAAGAAAGCAACCGTCATTTGCCCATCAACTGCACGACTGCGGGGAGCCGGGCGCACAGAAGGGTATTTTCTGGACAGCTAGGTTAGTGTGCTGCTTACTCCTGAAAGCCCGGATTTCACTCTCTTATACCAGATCCCCATCCTGGCAGTGAAGTTAAGCATACTCCTCCTGTTCCAAGTTACTCAGACTAGCTTTGTGATTGGCTTTGACACAACACAAGAATTTTCCTAGAAAACAGAGAGGCAGACAAGCAATCACACACATTTCCCCAGCACCATGAAATCAGAGTGAGAAAGTTCACTTACAGAACTTGGTTTCTCACCCAAACCTATCTTCATTCACAGCAAGTACTAAAATGGATTTTTCTTAAGATGACACCCAATCTAATCTGAGTTGTCAACAAAAATTTTTCTTAATGGGCAAACATACCATTTGAATCTATGGAAGAGCTTCTGGACAGGTGAACTTGTAACTCCTTTTGAAACCGTGGTGGGACAGTTAGTCTCTTCTCAGACCTGAAATTGAAAAGAAAAGTGCTTTAAATCATTCTCCTGGCTCTGAATAGCATTCCAATTGTTTGCAAGACCTATACATAAAATAAAATGTATATCACACACTTCTAGCAGGCTCCCTGCACAAGATCAGTACTCACAACACCCTGGCTTAGAACACAACCTGATCAGCAGTGACAAGATAGATCTATAGGTGGTTTCTATTTTTTTCTTATTGTCCCAAATACTGTGAGAAACAAAATGCATGGTAAAAAGACATTAGCAAAAAGAAAGCATCTAGGCCTAGTAACACAGTTGATGGTCTTACATTTGACACGTTCAGCCTCACTATTTGTCTTTTATCTGCATGGCATCTCAGTCTTGCTGCTGTACATGATTATGGTCACCTTTGTAGCCATGTCAGAGTCTCCTGAAAGGATTTGGCTTCAGAAGTCAGGGGAACACCTAAAAATACACAGGAACTCAAGGTCTTTTTGTGGATGCTGTTGCTACATGGTTAAAGAGATTCCTCTCTGAAGTGCTCTCCCACAGAAAGGACACAAACATCATGCAGGTGTTCTTCTGAGGTCCCTCAGAGAGCAGCAGCTTATACTGGGAGCATATGCAGCACAATGAGCTCACAACAACAAGGAGGTCACAGCAGCGTATAACTCACTAAGATTGTTTTGGAACAATCAGCTGTGGAATAATTACATACACTGCAAGCAAAAGGGAATAAGAGTTGGAGAGAAGAGTTCAAAGACCAAGCACCTCCCAAAGACACACACTTTAGGAAGAGCTACAGTAGAGAAGTCAGGGTGGCAAATGCACCACAACAGCTCTCCACAGAAGCATGGCAGGTTGCTGTGAACGCCAGGCACCTCCAGACCACAGCAGCCACCACACATGCACTGAGCAGGCTCCACAGATGGCCTCTGCCCAAGGGGCACCTCTGGAGTTCAGGGGCAACTCTGGAGGAAACCACAAACTTCACCAGCCACAGAAACACCAAGGGGGATTTTCCCAGCTTCACCTGGGCTCTCCGAAGGCAGGATAGGGGTCAAGTATGATGTTGAGGCTAGTAGCAACAGGAAGTCGAGACTAGCACAGTATTAAGGTAGCCCAATGTGCCTTCACTGACCTTTAATCAGAGCAGATCCACAAATCAGAAAGAGGCCTCCCAAATTCACACCTCTTCTAAGCAGCATCTTACAAGACTTAACACAAATTTCTCTCTCACACTTCTTTGGTATCCCTGCAAGATGAAACTACTGCTCCTCCATCAGCTATGGGGTGTCACTTGTACCAAAAGTACTACTTCCCTTCTGGGTCACATCCAGAAGTGAGCATTAGCAGTGAGGACGGCCACTGCCAAGCACAGCACTTTCCAAAGCAGGAGAGGCATGCCCAGACGTGCTGAGCAGCAGACCAACTACAAGCACATTTGTGAAACAAAAGTGGGATAAGACTCAAAAACTACAAAGGCAAAAAACCCACATGAAACCTAAACAGCCTGGAAAAAAAGAGACTGAGGGGAGACCTTAATGCTCCCTACAACTGCCTGACAGGAGGCTGTAGTGAGGTGGGTGCTGGTCTCTTCTCCCTGTAATGGGCGATAGGACGAGGGGAAATGGCCTCAAGTTGTACCAGGGCAGGTTTAGGTTGGACATTAGGAAAAATTTTTTCACTGAAAGGGTTGTCAAGCACTGGACGGGGCTGACCAGGGAAGTGGCTGAGTGCCCATCTCTGGAGGTATTTAAAAGAAAGGTGGACAAAGTGCCTAGGGACGTGGTTTAGTGGTGGGATGGCAGGGTTAGGTTAACAGTTGGACTTGATGATCTTAAAGGTCTTTTCCAACCTAAACGATTCTATGATTCTACGATTCTCTCCTCTGCGCAGCAGCCTCCTGGGCAAAACAGGGAGCAGAGCTGGGGACACCTCTCTCCACTACAGCTCTGCCCGGAGCGTTAGCCCAGTCCACACTCATGCAGTCAGGAGCTGTGGTGCAGGCAGAGAGGCCCACCTTGGGTCCCCCCGCTCCCGCCATGGCCCCGGCCTCGCTGCCCTCGCCTGCTGCACGCAGCAGGTCTCTCTGCCCTGGCCTCTACCTCCAAACCCTCCACTCCTCACACGGCCGCTGCCAGCTCCTCCGGCCTCCTCGCAGATCCTGCCCCTGCTCTCCTCTCGCCCACTGCAGCTTCACAGCCTCTGCCTCCTGCCACCATCCCCACACGCCCCTTAGCTCCTCCCACGTCCAGGCAGGTGCTGCTATGGCCACAGCCATAGACTGCTCACAGACACAAGAAGCCTCTCCCGCCTCCCCCTCCCCAGGCACCTGCCCGCTCCACCAGCACCAGCAAACCGGGCAACTTCCCAAAAAGCACAGCCGGCAGAGCACTGCCACAGCGAAGGGCCCTTTGGGGAGCAGCAGGGAGGTTTCGAGGCAGTGCTGTCAGCCGTCAGGAAAAAGCTACGCTCTCGGGCCCAAAAGCTGAAGCGGCCGCTGGCCTCACGAGTGCTCCGAGCGCAGCCTCGCCTCCCCCTCTGGCACCCAGACCCCCGGCGCACACGGGACTCGCACGGGCGACTGGGGCGGGACGCGCCTGCTTTCTGTGGCTCTTCCAGAAAGAGCAGGCACTGCGGCAGGATTAAGCCGTCGCTCTGCTCCATGCCGCTTCACAGCTACGCCGACGTGGAAGCGGCACACTGCTGCCATTTCCATTCAGCGCAAGGCTGACTCCTAACCCATCCCGGTGACCTGCAGAGGATTACCGCCACAATCGCAGCTCTGGCGGACTTAGCGCAGCCACAATGAGCAACAGCAAACCCTTTCTTGCCACCACCAGCTGACGGCCCAGGGCGGCCGAAAACAACACAGAAACAGAAATGATGGGGCAGCAGTTGGGTAAGCCGCCTGGATTAGAGAGGCTCAAAGGGGCTTGAAATCCAGCACGCACCGCTAACCCAGCAAAACTGCAGCTCCAGCCCTCATCCCTGTTCACCCAAACGCGAGCAGGCAGCTGTTGGGTCCCAGCACGCCAAGAAGGGCCACAAACACCAACACTGCAACGGAGAGGTCAGGCAAGAGGTAAAGAGCGGCCACCTGCAGACAACCATGGCCCTGACCACGCCTCTCACCCACCCACAAACCTCCCTCTGCTCTCTATCGCGCTGGCCACAACAGCTCCCTCCTGGGCCTGGGAAACGGCGACATCCCCACGCACCCTTGGCAGATCTCTCCCCACAAGACGTGGCAGCCGCCGAGAGCATGGGGTAGCTGCGGCAGCATCCGAGAAGGCAAAGGGTCACCCGCGACCCTCCTGGGTACTGACCCACCTTCACCTTCGGCAGGGGCGGGAGCCCGGACTCCCATGTCCCAGAACGCACTGTGCGTCCCGGCACAGCAGCGTCCAAGGGGCCACCACCCTTCATTTCACCCTGCTCACACGCACAAACACGTACACACACTGACCTGTTCACCACAGTGACGTGCCTCTGCATGGGCATTTCTTTAGGTGGGCCACTCCCAGCGGCTGGAGGCAAGGCAGACCGGGCGCTCTCCATAGCGGGTCTCACCACTCCACACGCCACTTCTCTGCCTCGTGGCGGGCGAGGAACGGGCCTCTTGCCACCTTCTTCTGGCACGCTCAAAGACCTGGGCTGTCGCAAAGTTCCTTTGGGCTTTCCTAAAGAGTGTGCAGACATAGCCATCAGTAGCGCTCTCCTCCACCCAACCCAACGCAACGAGACTTCAAGCGCAGCACAGAGCTCCCTCCATGGACTCATACTTTTCCCAAAGGCAGGGAAGAAGGATGCTCTCAAGCCACGCTCGGCAGTCTCTTTGCTACAGCAGCATGGCTCGCACCCAAGGACTCATGAACCGCAATCTCCACTGACGCGCTGCAGCAGGGAGAGCGACAGGAGGCCCGTCTCTCCTTACACTCTCGGGAAAGGCACGCACCTCTGAGCTGCCACACCAGGTCACGGCTCAGCTGGAAGCCATGGTCAGGCTGCCCTTTCCCAGCCAGCGGCAGCAGCAGCAGCAGCTCCCAGAGGTGTAGCACGTGCAGCCCAACTCTACCTCCTCAGCCACCTCCTGCACCGCGACCCCCAAAGGGTTTCTTCTTCTCTACCCTGACTTGCAAGCACCCGCCTCCCAAACTCTCCCACACAGCAGAGGCTACCAAGGAACACCTGCAGAGGAACATGCCACGCTGGCCCTCGGGCCACGATGGGACAAACAAGCTCTTGGCCCCTGTTTACTTGCTGGCTGTACCACACCAATTCTGGCGGGCTTGAACACTTCCGAGGTGTATCGCTGTGCAAGACAGTGAACCAACGTGCGTTTGCCATCCCTGTTGTTTAACTGCGGTACGACTCAGCGGTTCAGCCTCCCACCTAGAGGGCAGACTCTTGGGGTGCTCGCAGGAGGGCAAGAAGCAGCAAGCCCTTTCTTGCAGACAAGAACAGAGGAATACAAACAAACCGTGAGACACACCGCTGCTTCAGGCTGCCCCCCTGCAAGCAGATGGGCCTTGCCTGGGCCTGATCCTGGAGTACTGACAGCAGCACAGCAACAAGCACGGCAGCAAGGGGAAGCTGACCCACAGGCTCTGGGAAGACACTGCTGCAGCAGCTTACGCAAAAGGCACAGACCTACGAAGAGCAGTCCCTGGGCATCAGCAATGTGCTGGCACCCGGGTACTTGCAGCAGCAACGGGAGCTGCTGAAACAGCCACAGACGATGCCGCAGGGGCTCCTTCTCACTCACGGCTTGCAAGCACAAGCACCCCTGTCAACAATACTCCCCACTCCCAGGAACTCTTCACCGGGACCATGCAACTCGCGGCCATCAGGCAACACCCTCACCGCCAAGACTTTTGCCCCAGCAGCTGCACAGTTCTTTCACAAAGGCAGACCCTCCACAGCTGCCTGGGGCTTTACCTGCTAATGTGACCGAAGACGTGTTCTTCAGCCTCATCTGGCAGTTCACTTGCCGTCCCATTTTCTTCTTGGAACTCCTTTGCCGGGCCACCATTTGAGCAATTGGCACAGTCTCGCTGCAAGCAACAGCATAGCAAATGACCTTGTTGGAATAGGAAGGAGACAGGGAGGAAAACAGTCAGTGAGGCCCAAGCTCATCCACTGCCTGCTGAAGGCTTTGCAACCATTTCCATGACTGCAACTGCTGGGTCATGCAGGCCCGCAGGTACTTCAGGAGAGGCTGGCGCCGCAGACACAGCCCTTGGAGACCTCCCCCTCCTGTCGCAGTGCACCTCAGAAATCAGCAAAGCAGACAGCCAGAGCCTCTTCATCACCTTCCCGCGTTAGGTTGGGCGCCAACAAGAAGCAGCCTGGTTTCTTTCTCCCGTCCTCCAGGGGGGCCATCTCGCTCTACAACCCTGGGAAGTCACGGGCTGCCAGCTAGCACACTTGCTCCTCCTGCCAGGCTGTGGCACCACTCTGGGGCTGACGTTGCCCCGCTTACCAAAGGAACAGCACAGTCACCCTGGCTGCACAGATCACCCTGCAGGCACCGGGCTGGCCCCCAGCAACAGCCCGACCTTGGGCAAGCCCACCACCACCTCCCTTAACGGCCTCTTGCCTCCTCTCAGCAATGCTGACATAGGCCATCCCTTGAATGGATGCAGGAACCCTGCTTCAGCAAACCCCAGATAACATGCCTAGGATGCACTTTGCCTCACAGACCAGACGCAAGCCCAAACGTTTGGGACATTCAACTGCTAACAGCCTGCAAAGGTGGCTGGACAAGTACTCCTCCAGGGCTCCACAAGGACACAGGCAGCCGCCAAAAAAACCCTGTGAAAAAGGGAGTCTGTGGTCTTAGGGGCATAGACCACATGGGGCTCAGACATACTCGGTGGTGGTGGTACAGGCTGAAAAAGGGGCCCTCACGCACAGTACTGCTACCCTCATTACCATGGCCCACAACAAGCATGGGGGTTGACAGTTCAGCACAGGACAAACTCAAGGACTTGGCCAGCACCTCTGAAATATAGCAAACAGCAGCTCCAGAAAGGAACTTCTCTCGCAAGCGAGCCAGGGCAACCAAACCAGAAAAACTGAGTGCCCACACAAAAAAGAGCAAGCAATGGCTAAGCAGCAGCAGCTTGCTTGAGAGCTCTCCCCTCAGTCCCTCAGGCTGACCCCAACAGCCCAGGGAAATATGGGCAAGGGAAGACAACACGAGGAACAAGGCATGCTCTTGGCCTCCAGCAGCGCACTCCAGCTCATCCTTCCCCTCCTCTTCCTCCTCCCCTGCACACCCAGCATCTGCACCAGGCTGGCGCGCATTACAGCCATTGGAGGGAGGTCCTCTCCTTGAGAGGCAGCTCTCCCACCCGAGAAGCTCCTGCTTAGAAGTTGGACAGTGTACCCGCTGTGCAATCAACACCTATGCATAAGTGTACCAGCAGTGTCAGAGCTTGGACGGGTAGACTTGCTTGTGCTTCAATGCAAACAGGCACACAGCACTTATGCAGCCTGACCTGGGGGACAAAGGATCCCCTCTTCTGCCTCTCTCTGTGCTTCACAGAGTTGCACAAAAAATGTGGGAGCAGTCTCAGGCCACAACCAGCCATACCAGTGCACTACTGCACTCACCAGCCCTGCTCAGTGTCTGCCCAGGACACACTCCTTCAGCATTGTGTTTCAACAAATGGATGGGAACAGGCCTTGGCATATCTGAGACTGTTGTTAGCCTAAAAATCCCCTCAGATAGGAAGATGAAGCATGCATGAACATGCAGCACATCCTCAGACTAGGGGACGTGGCTTTGTGTGACCCTCCTGCATACAGACCACACCAGTGTGCCATGCAGCCCTTTTGCTGTGTGCAGTAGTTCTGCACCTGCCCGATGCCCCACGGCCATACATGCCATGAGACTCCCAGCAAAATGCACAGTATCATCCCTGTTACTCAAAACTACAAGCCCCACCAGCCTCTTTATCACAACCATACTGCTCCTCTGGGCCCCAAAATAATCATGGTCTGAGCTGAAAACTCTGCAACACTCCAGCGCTCATACTGATCCACTTGCTCTTTCTGCAGGAGCTCTGGTCCCCAAGGGCACAGGGCTGCGGTCTGTGCCCTGAAGCCTTGCAGTAATAGTTGTCTAACAGGACAACCTTAATTTGCATGCTTTGTCTTCTGGCTTTTATCTACAGCATCAGCCTAAGGGTTAGGAAGCACACGTGGTCGTCCTTGGGATCCTCTTCAGGTCTTTTCCTCGCTGTCCCCACGCAGATGTTCTGACACTGGGATTTTGTTCTGGCTTTCTGTTTTTGCAGACTGTCTTGCCCATCACTGGCAGGGCCACGCAATGCCTAAAGCCTGTCCCAGTACTCCATGACCACCCACTGGGCTGTGCCCGGGTATGGGGCCCTCTCAGTCTGGCTCGCAGGGCGGTTCTCTTCTTGACATATGACAGGGCTTCTGCTGAGGCCACTTCAGAGAGGTTCATAGTCCCAACTTCTCCATGCCACCTCTTAGGTGCCCCCTCCTTACAAGTCAATGCTTTTTCTGCAGCTCTGCAAAGTGGAGGGCCCAAACCTGCCTTTTGCTTTTGTTTAATTACATTTTATTCACATTTAATTATTCATTCCATTAGCTCTGAGTAAAGACTGGATTATCCACTTTATACCTATGCTTTTACAGTATACAAATATTTAATTTATATACCTCTATAAATATGTACATAAGTAATGTATGCCTGTATGAATAAAAATGCATATTAATACACACCTTCATACATATACTTATAAATATGTACACATTGTATATAAATTTATAGGTTTCTATAGCTGAACACTTCCTGGTACAAAGGAAGCAGGGGTTGCGACACTGAACAAAATGGCAGCTCCCTCCCACAAAATGGTGGCACAAACCTGCCAGCAAGGGCTCCCTCCCGGGAAGGCTGGGCAGCACAGGAGGGCAGGGACCATTTTCAAAGCGGGTGCCAGAGCTCCCTAAAGCTCTCTGCACACACTCAGCTCAGAGGTGTGCTCACACTCAGGGCTTCTCCCAGGCCAGCCAACTGAGCTCTAGGCACCAGTGTTGGCGAGCAGGCTCGGTGCTCCTTGGCAGGCGTTCTGCTTGCAGATGCCCACTCAATGCACAGGCAGTCCTGCCACGATCAGGTTCCGAGAGGGATGGAGCTCTTGCACACTGACCAACCCTGCTCTCAAAGCATGTGCTACCAACAGGGTTGAGTCCTAACACCGAGTATGCTCGTGTGCTTGAAACACCTCAACCTCAACCCCTGGCAACTAATGTGCAATGTGAGCAGAGTCAGTGGTTTGGGAGAAGGCAACCTCACTCTCCTCAAGCCTCTCTCACTCAAGACACAAGGGGAGAGTCCCTCACCTCCGAGCACATGAGGGCGAGCAGCTGCCGCTCGCCTACCTGTGCGGTGCTCTCCCCAAATGGTGGCAGGCGCACAGCTGCCTGCAACCGCGGTACCGCTGTGCCAGACGCCACGTGAAATTAGTCTCTGCCACCCTCTGCAGAAGCAGCCCCTCTCCCCTCACTGTTTCCCTTTTTTAGGGGAAGTCACCCTGGGCAACACACCAAGTCCAAAAGGAAAAGAAATCCCAACCCGCAGCACATTTCAGACGCCGTGCCACACGGTTCAGTCCATGCATGGACACTAACGCCGCCTCTACCATCCCGCACCCAAGTTCACAACAGCCCAACTCAGGTGCTGGGCAAGGAGGCACAGCCTTAAGTCCTATTCTTCACCATTCCTTGAGCCATTTTACTTCATGCGTACACAGCACTTTACTAACCTGACTGTGTCGTTGGGCCCAAACACCTGTATTTACACACAGGTGCACCCACGTACCTACACCTATACAGGCAGCACTGCCTATACGTGTGTTTACACATGCATGGTTCCTTACCCCAGCAATTCCTGCCCTTGCGGGTCCAGTGTCTTTCACTGACTGATCCTGGAACAGCCTCTACCACAGCTCCCTCCACGGCACCCCCTGCTCAACTGTGGGACACGGCATTTCTGTGCCCGGGAGGAGGAAGGAGCACACGCTGAATGCGCGCACTCGCACACCTCCGGACGGCAATGGGCGGCAGCCACGCCGGGCACATGGATCCTTCTGCCATCCTTTTAGAGCCTTAGCTGCTGGTGAACAGACCTTCAAAGACTGAGAGGAGGTGGTGGTCACCTGCTAGAAGGAAAAGACCCATGAAGTCCGTATCTCCTTTGGACCCGCTTGTGGGGACGTCATGTAATGCGCAACTGTGTAAGTCTCAAGTTGGTATCAAAGTCTTGATGGTAAAAAGTATTCAAAAGTCCTCTTCTCCTGCCTCTGCTGGCCCATCGCCCAGTGCTGAGATAGTCGGGGGATCTTAAGAACACCACAGCATTAAGGGACATGAGGCAACTGGCACAGCGCTGTCACTAACAGCAGTTTTAGATACCTGCCAAAAAAATCTGCATTTGCATGTGCGTATTTTAGTCCTGTGCGCTCCAATGAACCACAGTCATGGCAGGCTTGGGGGGCTGGGAGAAGCAGCTGCTTCCACAGCTGTGTCGAGTGCCTTTCCCACTGCAGAAAATTCCTATCAGACTTGGTACTGCTGGTGTACTTGACTACCAAAGTACATAAGGTCAGTGTTGTGAAACTCGCTTGGTCTGGGTTTTTGTCTCATAGGATATGAAAGCCTGCAAGAGGCTGTGCCCTGGGTGAACATGTCCACTCACCTGCTCAGACTGGCAGAGGGCCAGCAGCAGCATTGGCAAACCAAACCCTACCTTAACCTTCATGCACTTATTGATTTTTTGTGTGTTTATTGAGAATGTGCAAAGTTGCAGGCAAATACAAAGCCATCTGTGTAATAAGCACACAGTATTACCCAGCCTGGTGAGATCTGCCCCAAGTTTCCAGCTACTTATATGGGGCTATGAAACACACTGAGCGTAATAAAATGATTGTAGGCAAGTACATGTCTGTATTTGCTCCCTGCGTTAGGCTCAGCCTGCAGCAAGACCATGCTGCGTAATCGAGGGACTTGCACTAACAGATGTGTTCCCAGAGATGAACAGAGCACGAAAGCTCACAAAGCTGCCCCTGCCCACTCCTCGCTATCCCAGCCTGGTTCAGACCAGGCTGAAGGAAAGCCTTCCCATCTCTGTGGCTCACTCACCAACAGTTGAGACACGTCCAGGAGCAGCTTCCTAAACTGCCTCTCGGTTCAGGTCTGCATGCTGTAAGCATCCTCAGCAGTCTGCCTGGGTTACTTTCCATCTCATGGTCATCTTTGAGCAAAGCACAGAAAATAATTATTTCACATTTAAGAAACACATCCCTTTCCCATCCTTCCCTAAGATTTTGTTTGGACTTTAGGACCAAGTTGCATTAAAATTATATACAGAGGAAGTCCTCACAGATAAGGCTAGAGTTGAGCTGCACCCCACAGACACCTAGTTCAGGCTAATTCCTACCCACAGACATTTTGAGGAGCACATGTGAAAGACGTTTCTGGGGTGCAAGACAAAGACCTCTCACTGTTCGGAGAAACAAGGCAATGGGTGCTCCTTCACCCTTTGCACATGGGTGTCTCTATGTCTTCTGTCCCTGACCCCATGCCTGAGTGTGAGATGCCCATCAGCGTGTTCCCTCATTCCCACCTTCTGGCCTTGCTTTGGGCACTGTTTGTTCCAGACTAGTAGCTTCTGTCTTGTTCTTTCAGGTGCACTTGCTGTAGTCCTTCTGCAGCACTGGGACTTGCTGGCTTTTCTCACAACTTACAAAGCCTCTTTGGCTTTTTTGTGACTTGTTAGTGTCTTGACCTCCTCCTCTGTCCTTTGGCCCCTCTGCCTGGTCCTGTCTGTTTTCTAACCATCTTGCTGGCACTATGTCTTTGATCCCACAGGGATCCAGATGGACGCATGGCCACACTGGACATGCTTCATTATCAGAGCCTCCCCACAGCTGCTGGGGAGACCATAATGCTGCAGGGACCTCATGGGTAATGGGGTGTGAAGTCCTGGGAAGCTCCTGGTGCCCAGGGACCCGAGGGCTACCAGTCCAGGATGGACTTGGGACTGGTGCTGAAGTGTGGCCCACCATTGTGGTAGCTGCCAGGCTCAATGAGGCCAAGGGGCTTCCTTCACACTTGCCAAGACCACAGCAGTCTCATGCAGCTGTAGGCATCCACATTGCATGATGGCTGGGCAAAGCTGATAAGCTCATGGAGGAGCTGCTTGGTGTGACTCATCAAGAAGCAGCTGTATATCCCCAGCAGTGGTCTGGCCATCCAGGTTCATGAGGACAGTAAGCTTCAGGAGAGTTGCTAGTATCTGGTGGGCTCCAAAGAGGCTCTCGGTTCCCACTGCAGTCACGGGGCTGTGACCATTTCAAGGACCCCTTTGCCCTCCCGCCACATATGTGCAGGGTGGGGATGCTCTGAGGAGTTAAGGAGAGGTTCCATGTCCCAGAGGCTTAGGGGACAATAATGGCCACAAGTGTTCCGAAAGAAGACGAACTCATTCCAATACCAGAGGGAACTAGATGATGCCTTTGTTTCAGACAGACTGGCTGAATCAGCTGGGCATAAAGACAGTTGTATAGCTGTCTGTCCCTGACTTAAAGAAATGCAGACTTTAAACAGAACCTATTGTTAAAATAACACAGCTTGTGTATGCATTAGATCTGTTTAATACTATGACCCTATGATTCCAATCGATGTGTACATATATATATCATTTTTTAACACAGGTAACTATAACAGGTATTTAGCTTATTTTACACTTTGCTGTAGAGCCCTGTCATTCTCTCAGCACGGGACTTTGCCTGCTGTGACTCCACCTGTGAGCAGTGCAAACACTACAAACGCTAAGGCAAGCCTGAGGAAATGAGCAGCATGTCCTGCCAGAAGAACCTCACGCCACAGTGGCTGTACCTTCAAGTTCCATGTACATACGGCTTGCTCCACCAGGCCCAGAGGGTGAGGAGGGAAGAAATATGCTCCCTACCATAGTGCCTGTTGGACAGATCTCTTAAGCTGCACAAGTTCTCAGCTTGGCTCTACACCTTATCATAGTAATTTAGCAAGTATAATAGTTTTGTGGTTTATATGAGCTATGTGAAGCTGTTATCAAAACAAGTAATGGCTCAACTCTGTACTGAGTTTACAAGGCCTCAGACTGGGGCCTATGAAGCTTGCTCTGTGTGAAGGCCTGCCTGCAACGTTGTTTTACTTGCTTTAGCTGTGACAGCTAAATCTGTAAGACTGGCAGGGCTGTTTGTTTTGTTTTTCCTTATCTTTGTCCAGTGTGACCATAATTTTGTACAAAGAATAGTTGGAAGCACTTGTTCTATGTCGAATGAGATATTTGCAGCAATAGTACAATGATGTAGTGAGAGGAATACAGGCCTGGTGTGATACTGAAGGCCCTGAGAATTTACAGCAGGAAGCTATGAGTACAGGCATGAAGTGGGAAGAGATGGGACACAGACTTCACTTTGCAGACTCCATAGCAATAAACTCAAGCAGACCAGCATAGTGAGCATACATGTGGCTCGTCCCAATGATGACTACAAAAATGCCAAAAACAACGAACGAAGGACCCCTGGAGGGAGAGCTCCAGCCCTGAGCTGGCTGCAACCCACGTATCCCTTCCTGGCAGTTAGGGACAGCCAGTGTTGTGACAATAAGCATATTCAAGAGACTAGTAATGATATTCACAGCTGCATTGTGATTCCACAGTGCATTGGAAATGCAATAGTCTGCAAAATGTAATGTGTATTTATACTGTGACTGCTGTATCACCCTACTAAATGGAAAACCCTTGTAAATACAAGTAGCCTCAAATGAGTAAACTTGCTATTAAACACTGGACCCTCCATGTGTGGAGTATCTAAAAAAGCCTGGTCAGAGAATACTGGACTCTGACAGGAAGCAGTCTCTGGAGGCTGTCATGGTTGTGGCAGAAGGCGGCTGTCACCAAGTCTTGGTGGTAGGTGTCATTGGGAGCCCTTTGCAGGCACACGCCAGGTGAAGTTCAGCATCTCCACCTCTGCCCTGGCACATGTCCCTGCAGTCTCCTTCTATGGGGCCAGCCTCTGGCTTGGCTTTGGCAGCCCTCCATCGATCCGCCATCACGCAGCTCAATGTGATGCTGCCTCCAGTCTGGCTCCCAGAAGTGGATGACACCTGCAGAGAAAGGAATGCTGCTGCAGCTGAGTTGCAGGGTGGCAGGGTCCCCTGATGGCAGGATAGCGAGGGGCTCTCCATTGCTGGCAGCAGGCACCAGAGCCAACTTTGTAAAACCTGATAGCATATGACAGATGACCATCTTGTGCCCCTCTGTGTGGAGCCCTCATCAGCCCTGTGTTTGGAACACTGGAGGACAACAATGAAAGACGAACCTGTGGGATCTAAAGGTTTCAAGTATGCAGCATTGCTCAACGTGCCCACGCAGCATCTGTAGCTCTGCAGCTGCCTGGGTACAGGCTGAGCAGGCCCAGCCCTACTGAGAGGGTGCCACAGGCCCAGGGCAGCGCAGACAAGGCCCAGATGACACCCCGGCACCCACCAGCTCCCAGCCCCTCCTTGATGGAAAGTGCACTTGTGCGACGGTTTTCTACAAGTGTCAGTAGAGAGATCCAACTGCAAAATTAAATTCAGAGAAGTTTGCAGTACTCAGAAATGGAAGCAATTAAGTGAATTTAAAACCTGTGCTCTCTGTAGAAGAGACACACTTAACCGTTGTGCCGCAGTCTCTCCCTCAAGAAGGTGATTCTCGCTGCTGCCTCGTAACGGGACCGAGGCTTCACCCGGCCCCACGGGAGGAAGGGACGATGAGCCGGGCCGGCACCGGCGGGGCGGAGGTGCCCACATCCTG